AAGACACGACAGCACAACCTCTGTAGTTTTAGTTTGCAATTCATGGATGGTTTATTAATCAATGCAAGATGCATTCATTGAACTGGATTAATCCTGCATAAGTAATTTCTAAATTTTCCTGCTGAAGTTATTTTTCATTTCTGTGAACAAATAATTTATTTGGATTTTCATATATCAGGATCATAGAGATTTTCCACAGCTAGATTTTAATTTCAATGACATATAAGTTGGCTTAAATATTAGGGTGCAGAGTTTTGCATGAGAACCTCTTCTAAAATCTGTAATTGGTGTGGAACATGCACAGAATAAATCTGACAAGGTCTAAGGAGCTGAGTTCAGTTCCACTGATCAACATCTATGCTGCAGATTAACAGAATCATTTATGGCATTAAAAGCTCTCTAGAATTCATTAGTTTCCTCTCCCACTAACTACTCTGACCTCTAATACCACTGGAACAAAACACAACACAAGATGCCCTGTTAAATTTTTTCCTGTCATTCATTCTCTTTTCTCATACACCAACATTTTTTAATCAGCGTACATTAATGATTAAATATACAGCTGTATTGTTTATTATTATTATTATTATTAAAAACTGAGCTTTTCAGTTAAAAAGAGACACCTTTAAAGAGAGTTGGCCTATTAAAATGAGATGTTCAAAATATTAATACATATTTAAAATAAACAACAATCTGGCATTTCTACATAGGGTTTAGGCCAAAGGAACAATTTAAAATAATTGTGGTTAATAGTAAGATTTTTATGTATCTATGTGATGAAATGTGATTTAAACATTCTTAAAGAGAGATCTGTCAGACAGGCATGTTAGTACATAAGATTTTATTTAAAGTCCCCTCACCCTACAAGCAAGCTTCATTTACACACGCATAATACTGTACAAAATTTACACTGTTGGTGCCTTTTATGATTTCCTTGGTCATGCCTTCTAGAGAATTAAAAAGATTTACATATAATACTCATAAATTCTTTAATTATATTTCTTAAAAAAGAATTTTAAATGACAAGACCCCCCCATCCCTATCCCTTAAAGTGGCATTTATCAGTGGCACATGATCATGTTCAGTGTTTGACTTTTTTTTTTTTGAATGCCATAAAATATTCTCTAATGTAGTGTTTGTGACAGGCTTCCTTTTCACATATTTATATACACAGATATATATTTCTAAATACCATCCCTTCACCCAATTGATGATTGCACAGTGTATTATTTTACAAAAATTATTTGAATTGAATAACACAAATAAATACAATCTATCAGAATTCCACAACGTAAGCAAAAATGGAATGAAGTTCCAGGATAAATATTTTAATTTTGATGAATTTATGAACAATGTTATTGTTTTCCCTTTTCCCCTTTAGATACAATTCCTTCAACAAATGATTTGTTACCTGGGTAAGGCAGTACCCAGCCAATTTTGGTGAAATTATATAGCATAATTGGAGTAAAAATTAGTAAAAAAAATTACAGGTAGTAATAATAGTAGTAATAATAATAATCATGGCGTAGTGGTATAACACATATGAATTTTTATTTTTAATATTTTCTGAATAGCCCAAAACCTTATGGAATATTATTTAGTAAATTACTTCTTTTATTCTGCCTATTTATATGTTTCGCATTTGTATCCCATTTGAAGTTATGTTTTGCCTTGCATTTTCGAATATACAATATTCATACAAATTACAAGCTAGACTTTGAAACAGACATACCACGAGTTCACTTAATTTCCAGAAACTGTGCTAATCTACATGAATTTAGGATTTGTACTGAACACTGGAGTTCAAAAATATCATCTATGGCTTGTTATAAGCTGCTGAAATGAGATGAATGTTTATAGAGTCCCAAGAAAGTCAAGATATATCTATTTATTTATATTATGACTCAGTCCCAATCTTTGTCTACTCTTCCTGAGTCCTAGGAAAGATAACTGCATAGTGCAAGGGCCCTCAGTTGATTCCAGTGGAAGGAAGAAGTGATAGAAGCAACATACCCTCCAATTTTTGTATAGTATTGATGAGAAATGGTCCTATTTTTCAGCCTAACAAAGGTATGGGATTCTTAGACCACAGGGCAAAGCCAGTTGCCTCAACTAGGTATATGATTAAATCTTGACTCCAGCCGTGGAAGATTTTGCATACTCTGCTATATTTTAATCTAAGCCTTGAGGATAGGAGAAAGGAATTTCATTGCTCAAAGCCTAAACAAAATATAGATGAGTCTAAATTCCTATTAGTTCTAAGTAAATATATATGTATATGTAATTCAACCTAGTAGTGAGGACAAACATCCATTTTGGAGCTGAACCCATATTGTCCCCCCTCCCCCAAAGTAAATCTAGCTGCTCAGTGGAATTAATCAAAGGACTGAAGTTCAAATATTGGACAGTACAAGGACAATGCTCCTCTTTCTTTTGTGATGTTCCTGAACATTATCTGGTAAGTCAAGGAAACCCCTAATTTCCCCCAAAACCAAAAGACCAATAATGCTCAATGGCCTGAGAATGCTGAGCATCAGTTAGGCAATGGGATATCAAAACATTCCGTATCAAAATAGGGAAATAAGAGTGGAAAATGTGAAAGTAGGTATAGATCAAAATCAAACTTTTCGTGGCAATGCGCACTGTTCAATCCAAGTCTTGAGTGCTGGGTCAGGGGACAGAAAATCTGAACCTTGTTCCAATTTTTTTAAGGGACAGGAAAAGAGAAGGAGAGAGATGGAGGGGGGAGGGAGGAAAGAGAGAGAGGGGGGAAGAGATCTTGCATGCATGAGCTATTGTAAGTTGAAGAAGCTCAAAAATTAGTGACCATTTTGTTTATTTCTAAAAATCTCCAACAGACTTTGATCCTTAACTCAACCACAGCCCCAATTTGAAGATATCAGTTGGATACAAGTGATAGATCAGCCAGTGTGCTGAACAAGATAGAACTAGAGGTCTAATTTTATATGAAGCAGCTTTCCATACTCTGAATGTTCTTCCGGCTTGTTTCCTCTCTTCCTGCTTGTTTCCATCATTCAAAAATTATTGTTTGTATCCTTTTCATGAATTCTTTGTAATATAAAAAGGAACAGACCACTCATTTGAAGAATGTGAGAAAGGCAGATCAAAACCCAGCATCTAATTCATTGTTTATAGCTTAGGGGGAGACACTAGGTTTTTATATCACATCTGTTTCCATTCTGAAATGCAGATTTACAAGCATTCATCCCCAAGCTTAAGATATGGTTAATTACAATATTTGTTGTACCCACATTTAAATATTTAAAACGGCAGGGATGGCACCCAACACACAATAGTTGAAAGGAAGTATATAAAAATTCTGCAGTCTCTGCAGTCTTGCATTCTGCATGTACTGTTCACAAAGGTTACTGTTTGGGTGTGTGTATATTATACAGCTTAATAGACATTAAACATAGGCAGGTAATCAGCTGCCAATTTTTAAAGAACAATTCCAAAGACAGCAATTACTATAGAGAACATGACAGCTTCAAGCTATATGTTCCTTCTGTATTTTTCTGCCCAAATCTTTCTATGTTGCATTTCCTATCTGGAAGATTCCAACTCTACATTTATCCTCATCGTCTGCCTTACTTTCAGTTCAGTTTTGCTTTGCTCTTGAAGCTGCAAACTATACGGCTAGTCCTTGACTTACAACAGTTCATTTAGTGACCATTCAAAGTTATAACATCACTGAAAAAGGTGACTTATGACCAATTTTCACTGCGGCATCCCCAAGCTCATGTGATCAACATTTACATGCTTGGCAACTGACTCCATATTTATGACTGTTGCCGTGTCCTAGGGTCAAGTGATCACTTTTTGTAACCTTTTGACAAGCAAAGTCAATGACACCTGCAGTGATTCATTTAACTATTGTGACAAAAAAGATTGTAAAATGGGGCAAAACTCATTTAACGAATGTCTCACTTAGCAGCAGAAATTTTGGGCTCAATTATTGTCATAAGTTGTGGACTACCTGTATTGGATTTAGTCAAGAACATACCCTAGTATGTTAGCTCTCAGAATTAGGCCTGCATATATTTTTATTCTATGATAAGGGTACTTTATAATAATATCAATGTTAAACAATTAGGAAATTTGTCAACCTTTGCTAATATTGTATATCACCAAAATGCTCATGTTATAAAAGTACTGTGCTTGAATTTTGTCTTTGGAAATGAAAAGTAAAGAATATTTACCATTTCTGCAAAATAGCATTTGTAATTATAAGATTTTAAACATTAATCAAAACTTTTATAAAACACTTCTAAACAGTACATGCTTATATGCTGTGGAAAGAAGGAAAACTAGAATCTTTGAACTTTTCGAGTAGTTATTTTGGATTTATACTCTTGCAAATAACATTAAAGATTGGCACAGATCATGAAAGCTGCCATAACTTTTTTTCAATTCTTAATGAGGAGAATGTTAGGGCAAAGTGTATATCAGGTCAACCAATTTGTTTGCAATAGAAGCATTACATTATTACCTCTGAGTTTTCTTCTGATGTTTGTCGCTTGCAGAGTATGTAAAGCAGTCAAGGATTAAAACTGAAATGGAGCAGACCATTCTGCGATTCAGTGCTTTTCAGTACTGCAATTTTGAATTACAAGTGGACTGTCATTGTTACTTCAACACCGATTCCATGCAGTTAAAACAGAATGTGCAGTAATGTTCTTGTTCATTTTCTTTAAATTTAGTATCGATATATGGGTCTGCAGCAGGGAAAATATCAATCTGAAATGGCCATCTGTCAACATGTGCAGTGTTCCATGCGTTTAGCCTACTTGTCTGACAAGATACCAATTCATCTGAGGTGGGAATTTGCTTAGTTTCTTTTTAAAAAACAACAACCATAAATGAAGGTGTAGAAGTAGGATCTTGTGGTCTATGGTCCAAAGAATTGTTCTTTAAAATAATTATGCCTCCCATCATTCCTTTTCTGACTGCATCAATATCCTCTTCTCCATTTCCAGGACTTATTTGTTGTACGGCACACATGCAGGAAGTATGACAGTAGAGCAAGCGGGACCTGCAAGTGGCTCAGCTACATCTCCTTCGAGCTCTGTCCAGGATCCTTTCTCAGGACTATAACAAATAGTAGAAGATTTGTAGGCTCCCTGTAATACAATATAGAGGCTTGTTTAATTAGCTGAAAAATATCAATTCAAAATGTAGATAACTGTAACATGATTCATATTAAGAGCCATGGTGATGCAGTAGTTAGAATGCAGTACTTGCAGGCTACTTCTGCTGACTGCTGGCTGTCTGCAATTTGGCAGTTCGAGCCTCACCGGCTCAAGGTTGACTCAGCCTTCCATCCTTTTGAGGTCGGTAAAATGAGGACTCAGATTGTTGAGGGCAAATATGCTGGCTCTGTAAACTGCTTAGAGAGGCTGTAAAGTCTGTATAAGTCTAAGTGCTATTGCTATTCAAGAACCTGCAATGTATTAATCCTCAGAGTGTTATGTTCATACAAACTATCTGCTTTCAGACGTCAGATTGACTCAGACATAAGACCTTCCATCACTCAGCCTTCCATTTTTTGAGGTCAGTATAACAAGGATCAAGATTATTGGGGGAAATATGCTGACATTGTAAAATGCCCAGAAAGTACTGTATATGCTGCCCATTATGGAGCAGTATATAAGTCTGAGTGCTATTGTTGTAAGATTTTATTTTTAAAAATGACAATGGAATTTTAGGATTCAGAGTGTACAGTGTAAAAATTAATAAGAACCTAATAATGATTGAGGGAAATAATCCAATTAACATCAGTATCTTCTTTTTATGGGAAGTCCACTGGAAAACAGCAGGACTCGGGGACCTCCTTAAGGTCAGCAGTAGTCAGACAAGTTGTTGCTATCTTGCTAAATACTCCCTCAAAACAATTCCTAATATTCCCTTTGACAATGGGGCTTGAAATTAATAAGATACCTTTCGGACAACAGGGCAGATGTAATGTATTTTCTAGACACAAAAGAATATTACTGCCTGATTTAAGAAACTTGCAAAAATGCTTATTGAGAACAAAGAATCAATACACCAGTGCAGTAATTACGGAAATTCTAGCACAGATTACATATTTTGCATATATATGATGATTGAAAGCTTTATGACTAGATAATATCCCTTGCATTCAAATGTCTTGCAGGGCTTGTGGCCATAATGGAGTAAATGTTTCTTGCAGTGAGTTGATTGCTGCATATTTGATATTACAGTACTGGTATCTTTTAATGCTTGTGCTAACTGTTTCTTTGGAACAAGCTTCAATGCAGGCAACTTTATTCTATTGTTTTATGCTATTCTAGATGTTCACTTTGTTTCAATTCTTCCACTTCTTTATCTAGAGAGCTTTGTTCTTTCTGAGGCAGAGGAGAGATTGCCTGGTTCTGGAATGAAAACAATGCAATAGCTGTGCTGCCTTCATCTACTGACTTCCCCTGGTTTACCTCTACAATCTAAATTACTTCTGGCAAGGCTTTGATTTCTTTGCATTGGGAAGACCTTTGCAATTCTTCCAATTCTGCTTCTATGGATACTTTGTATTATAAATTGACATTGATCTGCTATAACCTCTGTTCTGTTATTTCTGATTTTGTATGTTATTCTTTCCAGAACTGGTTTCAAACATTCTCTTCTTGCTGGACTTGATCTGTAATAACAGATTATTACTTTATTTCCAATCATTTTGTATTTGCAATGGGTAAACACCTTTTTTTCCAGTAATTCTGTAGCTGCTGGCCCTGATTGCTCAGCCAAGGGTCCTGAAGCCCATTTTCACCCAGGAGCAACAATACATAGTGTGGTCCACATTGAACCGGGCAATGACTGAACCGGAATGTGTTTTTTGTAATTTATGTCTCACCATATTTTTTTCTGGGAAAGACACTCTTCTCTTGGCTCCTCTAGTGAGATTTATCTAATATGAGCTGCATTAGTTCCCAGTGAGTTTCAGTTAAATTCAAGATGCTGGATGTCACTATAAAACCCTACATGGCATTCAGCCAGGTTATTTGCAGAATTATCTATCTCCTCACATTCCAGCTTGACCCATCAGTACCAAAGGGATGGCATGATCTGGGTCTCTTCTATTAGAAAATCCCATCTTGTGGGACCTGGAATTGTGTAACATCACTGGCCCTATGAAGCAGTATCCCTTTAGAGATCAGGAAGGCCCTGACCCTTGGCAAGGTACTGTAGATCTGGATGTTTTCTCAAATAGTTGGATCAGAATTCTGAGCAGCTCGGGCGAGGGAGGCGGATTAGTTTATTTTGGCGTATATGGATTGAAAATGGAATGTTTGGGTCCCTGATGTATGCTGTTTTCTGTTATTACTACTATGGTACTGCTACTCTCACTTGCACTATTATTTAGGATGGAATGAGGAGGGTTTTTTGTATTGTCTTGTTTATAATCCTCTATGCTTAGTCACTGCCATGAGATAGGTGGTGGTAAACAATTGCTTAAGTAAATAAACAGCATGCTATAAAATTATAACCAGATGACCTAGTTAAGACTTCATGTTCAAATGAATGCATACCATACTCCAGCTGTAGCCTCCAACAAGGTATATGTTGTCATCAAGGACTGCACATCCAGGACCACTTCGACCCTCCAATATAGGAGTTTGCAGAATATTCCATTGGTCGCCCTTTGGGTCATAACATTCCACAAGCATGACATCCAGGTGAGAAAAACCTGTATCACACATTCATAAAATAATTTGAATCCACTTATCTTAAAATAATGACTACGGTCACTATTAAAAATAATTTCTCAGCAGGATAAAAGGAACTTGTTAGAAATAAGAGGAATGAGCCTGTTAAAATAAAACATTGCAAAAATTTTCCTTTGATTTTTCCTCTGATATTCAGCTAACATCATCATAGGATATTGTACTGAACTTCAACTTCTTAATTATTGGCCATTCTTAATAGCAAACATACAGTGACTTTGTCAACTGTACGACTCAGTCATTTAGTGCAGGGGTCTCCAACCTTGGCCCCTTTAAGCCTGGAGGACTTCAACTCCCACAATTCCCCAGCCACGTCTGCTGGCTGGGG